CACACACCTCTTTCTTGGCCTTGGTCACCTTGACGATGGGCGTGATGAACTCGACGAGGAAGTTTGGGAGCTTGAGGAGCGACGGGAACCAGTAGTCGAGAAAGTTTATGAGGAGGCCCTTGATGTGTGACCCGTCGTGGTCCTGCAGGCGGGCGGGGGCGGGAGCGCGACACAAGGTCAGGGAACGGTCCCGATGGTCGTCTCGCCGAGCCCGAGAAGAGAGACGAGAGGGGACGCACCTGGTCGGCCATGATCATGAGGCTGCCGTAGCGGAGCGAGTCGATCGAGGCGTACGTCTTGCCCTGCTGGAGGCCCATGATCTGCTTGATGGCCTGGATCTCGGCGTTGTCGAGGAGCGCCTTGCCGCTCGCCTCGCGCACGTTGAGCAGCTTGCCGCGCAGCGGGAACACGCCGTAGTTGTCGCGCCCGACGACGGCGAGGCCCGACACGGCGAGCGCCTTGGCCGAGTCGCCCTCGGTGAGGATGAGCGTGCACTTGGAGCCGTTGCGGGTCCCGGCGTTGTTGGCGTCCTCGAGCTTGACGAGGCCCGTGATGCTGCGCGGGCGTGCGACAGAGAGAGTCAGGGTGGGCTCGAGCGACCTCGGAAGAGGAGGAGGGGACGGACCGAGAGCGCTTGGACCCGTCCGTCTTCTTCAGCATCTGGTCCTGCTTGAACTTGGCCCAGTTGAGGACGTTGTCGATGACGCCAGACTTGGCGACTGTGACAAGAAGGAGAGGGGAGCTGAGTCAGGAACTGGCTCGAGGCGACCACGACGAGGCGACGGCGACGAGGGGACGACATGAGGGGACGACGAGGGGACGCACCCTTCTTGAGAAAGTCCTCGGACAACTCGCACTTGCTCCCGAACTTTTTGGCCGACAGCGTCATGTTCTCCTTGGTCTGCGAGTCAAAGCTCGGGTTGTTGACGAGGCAGTTGACGAACACGGTCAGGTGGCTCTTGATCTGGAACGGCTTGACAGCGACGGCCTTGTTCTTCTTCTTGACGAGGTCGACGAGGCCGTGCACGATCTGGTCGGCGATGTAGCGACGTGCGTGCCGCCCTTGGTCGTCGCGATGCCGTTGCAGTACGACACCTGGCTGAACTGGCCGTCCGACACGGCGAACGCGATCTCCCACCGGTCGCCGTACGTCTCGTACACGACGGTCGGCTTGGCGGGCTCGGTCGAGCCGACGACGAGGTCGTCGTCGTCGAGGAGGGCCTGGGCGGCCGTCGACACGGCGTTGTCGTCCTTCTTGGCGCCCGCCTTCTTCTTGCCGCCCGCGCCGCCGGCCGCGACCTCGTTGACGCCCGAGATGAACTTGTCGACGTACGTCTTGAAGTCCTTGCAGCGCAGGAGCTTGCCGTCGAGGTAGACCTTGACCTTTTTCAGGATGCCGGCCATGTCCCACACGCGCTTGTGGAGGAGGGCGAGGATGTCGTCGTCAAAGCCGGCGTCGGCCATGCTGAAGCGCGCGAGGTCGGGCTTGAACTCGATGAGGGTGTACTCCTTCTCGCCGCGCTTGTTGTCGGTCACCTTGGGCTTGCCCTTGACGCTCATGTTGTTCTCGAACACCTGGCGGTACTTTTTCTCCTTGCTGACCGTCTCGACGACAAACTGCTGCGAGTATATGTTGGCGAGCTTGGCGCCGTAGCCGTTGCGGCCGCCGGTCGTCTTCTCCTCGTCGTCGTCGTAGTTGCTCGACGTCAACAGGTTGCCGAAGATGAGCTCGGGGACCCAGATGCCCTCCTTCGAGTGGATCTCGATCGGGATGCCGCGCCCGTCGTTCTTGACCGAGATCGTGTGCGCCTCGACGTCGATGTTGACCCGGATCTCGCTCATCGACGGGTCGCGCACCTTGTTGTCGGCCGCGTTGACCAGGATCTCGTCAAAGATCTTGTAGAAGCCCGGCACGAACGTCGTGTTGCTGTCGATCGGGGGCGAGACAGGGTGAGCTCGACCGCCCGTTCGCTCGCTCAATCGCCCGCCGAAAGAGAGAGAGGCTAGGCGCACCGGAAGACCATCTTGTCGCGCTCGCGCTCGTAGACCCACATGGGCTGCGTGATGGGCTCGATGCTGCCAATGTACGTGTCGGGACGAAGGAGGACATGCTCGAGTTGAGTGAGCTGCGAGGGAGGAGAGAGAGGGAGGTCAGTGGGGGAGGACGCGGCCGACGACCGAGGGCATAGGAGGGACGCACCTTGACGTAGGTCTCGCTCGCCGACTTGCCCTTGCCCTTGGCGGCCGTCTTCTTCTGCGGAGGAGGCGTGTCGTCCTGTCACACGGGTGGGAAACGAGTGAGCACGACGGTCGCTCAACTGGCGAAACACGGCGACGAAGGGACGCACCTCGTCGTCGGTCGCGTCGCGCTCGTTGGCGTCAATCTCCTCGAGCGGTGCCGCCTTCTTCTTGCCCTTGGCGGCCGTGCTCGTCGACGCGGCCTTGGCCTTGGGCGCCGCCTTGGGCTTTGCGGCGGCGGGAGCCTTCTTGGCGGGGGCCTGCAACGACGAGCGAGAGGGTCAGCGGCTGGCACGAGTGCGTGCCCGGGCAGGTGCAGGAGACCTGCCTTCTTCTTGGGCTGCTCGTCGTAGGCGTCAGAGGCCGAGCCGTCGCTCATCTGCACAGTTGAGCGACGGGGAGGACGGGGTCAGTTTCGCGTTGCGCAGGGGGCTAGGGGGTGGCGAGGGGTGGACGCACAAAGTCGTCTGCGTCGTCTGACGAGTCTTGGAGACGCGCCATGCTCCCGGCTGGCGGGAGTGGTGCAGAGTGGTGGAGGAAAGGGAGAGGCGACGGAGGGGCGCGCTTGCAACCTCACCTCGTCTCTCGCTCGGGGGATTCGCCTGTGCCTCTTGTATTCTGTATGAGTGATTGATACGACCTGCACGCGTGTCAAACACGCCGAGCGAGCCACTTTGTGTCGCCGTGTGCTCGTCGCCGAGTCGAGGTGGCTCCCCGCTCGCTCGCTTCGCTCCTGCTCTCGCATCACCACCCGCTCGCCTGCTGAGCCATGAGCAAGATGAACAACCCGTTCGCGCAACCGCAGCAGACCGAGGTCTCGTCTGCCGCGCACCGCTTCCCCGACGTCCTCGCCTCGGACCCCGACCTCCAGCGACCACCGCCGCAGCAGCAGTACCAGCCCCAGCCCCAGTACCAGCAGCAGCAGTACACCGGCTACCAGCAGCAGCAGCCTCAGCAGCAGCAGTACCTCCAGCCCCAGTCGACCGGCTTCAACCCGTACTCAAACGGTGGGGGCGGTGCACCGTCGTCCCCGTACGCCGCGCAAGTGCCAGGGCAACCAGGCGGGCAGTACCAGTCGTCGTACGGCTACCAGCCCCAGCCCCAGCAGTCGTACGCGGCCGACCTCGACCCGTACGCCCACCTCGGCTCGCTCCAGCAGCAAGGCGCGTCATCGTCGTCGTCCGGCGCATCTGGGCTCGCGCAGGGCCAGGGCGGGTCGCTCCTCGCCGTTCAGCAGACGCAGAGCCACCCGCGGCAATACGTCAGCGAGCAGCGCGGCGCCCTCATGGCGTGGGACGACTACGCCTGGAAGCAGCTCCTCTCGAGGTCAGTGCCTCGATCTCTGGACCAACCGTCGCCAGGTGGGACCCTGTCCGGGCCGTGCCTGGCGTCCCGTCATCCTGCTCGAACGGCACTGACAGTGGACCTTCCCTCGCAGGCTCGATGTGCGTCCTCGCCATCTCCCTCCTCCCTCTCCTACCCTTGCCGCCATCCCTGCCCTTCCTCGCCCTGACGTCGCCTTCTTCTCGACACACAGGCCCTGCGAGAAGCGTGGGAGACGCGAGTCGCCGGTCTGCGCGCGGCAGCAAACTCTGGCGCCGACCCGACCAACGTGCAGCAGCTGCAACGACGCGCAAACGAGCAAGTCGGTGCGTCCGCCTCCCTCTCACTCGCCTCCCTCTCACTCCCCATGAACGTGTACTGACGTCGAGCTTGACATTCGCAGACGGCATCCACGCAGCCAAGATGCAGCTCGGCGAGGTGCAGAGCGGGTGGAGGCACAGCACCGACGCGGCATCGTGCGTCTCGCTCTCCCTCTTTCCCTCCTCGTTCTCGTCGAGTAGCAGCACTGACTCGTGCTCCCCGTCGCAGTAAAGCGCGAGTGCGCGAGGCGCTCAACGCCGGCATCACGAGCTTGCCCGGTGCGTCCTCGCTCTCGGACCTCTCCCTCCTCTCCCTCTCGCCCTCTCGCCCTCCCTCTCACCCCCACCGAGCTCCTCCCGCCTCCTGAACGTCCTTGCCATGGTTTTGCACCCGTCGTGCCCAGTCACTGACCTCGTCCTCCTCCCCGCCGCGCCCGCCCGCAGAGTACCCACCGCCCGTCTCGCCGCACGAGCTCGGCGGCTCGTTCATCCACCAGGCGGCCAAGCAGGGCATCATGAGCCAGTACGGCCAGCCGCAACAGCCGCAGATGACCGGGTACCAGCAGCCGCAGCAGACGGGCTACGGCGCAGCAGGAGGAGGAGGAGCGTATGGCGGCATGCAGCCGGGCTATGGCGGGCAGCAGCAGCAGGGCGCCGGCGGCATGTACCAACAGGGGCAGCCGACTGGGTACGGCGGTGGCGCGGGAGGGTACGGCATGCAGCCGCAGCAGACTGGGTACGGCCAGCAGTACGGCCAGCAGGGAGGAGGAGGGTACGGCGGGCAGGGCGGATACTACTAGCGTCTCGCAACGGACGATAATGACTGGGCAGCACCGTGCAGCATTCTCTCGAGAGGCTCGTGCGGTAAATGCTGCGCTATGTACAAGTTGCTCTACCACGTGGCACTCGCTCCTCGTCGTCCTCGCTCGGGCCGCGCGCCTCAGCTGTCGAACGTCGACAGCTCGTACTCGCTCCACCACTCGTACGCCCGCTCAGGTGTGTACCACTGCGCGCACGGCAGACACCGAGAGATGTCAGTGAGCGTCCTCGAGGCGCCGAGAAGGAGGAGGAGGAGGGAAGGCGAAAGAGAGGGTCCGAGAGCGCACCGGGTCGCCCCACCCTTCCTCGCCCGCATGATGCACCGCGTCGACGAGTCCCTCGCACTCGATCGCGACGGCGCCACCCTTGGGGTACGCGCGCTCCTCGGCCGTGCACTGCTCGGGCGCCTTGCCGTGCGGGAGGTGGGATGCTTTGCGCGCGAGGCCCACCGGGTACGGGAGGCCCCATGGCCGGGTGGGCGTCGTGAAGAGGTGGAGCGCCGGCTGGTTGGTGCGGATCGAGAGGCTGTGGGAGGGCAGGGAGGAGATGTCGGTCAGAGAGGGGCCACGGCAGGAAGGGAGGGAGGGAGGGCGACGCACCGGATCCCGCTTGACGGCGACTCGAGGACAACGACAGGGTCCACGCTCACGTTGCGCGCCGAGTCCGAGAAGACGAGCGCCGTGTCGAGGCCCTTGCACCCTGCGAGCAGAGCGAGACCGTCATTGGCCGGCTCGACCAGGCCAGAGAGAGAGAGAAACGGCACCGACGCACCCGTCCCGCACAGTCCCATCGCCTGCGGCAGGTCGACCCTCTCACCGATCGTCGGCGCCGACCCTGCGCCCCTGCTGCCGCCGCCGCCGCCGCGCGCCGAGAAATCGAGCGGCGAGTCGCGCTCGATGGAAGCGATCTTGCCCGTCGGGATCTGTGGACAGGCCGCAAAAGGCGCATTCAGTACGCAGACTTCGGGAATGAAGCCGCAGGACCGAAGCCGCATGCGAGAGGCTGACCCACAAGCTCGCCATCCGTCTCGAGGTACCGGTCCGCGTCGACCCACAAGCGGTGGTCCCTCGCACTGCCGCCCGTCCCTCGCCCTCGCTCCGGCGCCTGAAAGCCGTCCAAGTTCCAGTACACGTGCGACGACAGCATGATGGGCGTCGTCGGCGCCTCGCGGTCGTCGCTCGAGGGCACGACGCGCGCCTCGAGCTGCGTCGTGAGGCGCACCGGGTCGCTGCGCAGCGTGTACGACGCGCGCACGTCGACCGTGCCCGGGAAGCCCTCGGCGGCGTCGTCGACGAGCCCAAAGACGAGGCGGTCGTGCGAGCGCTCGATGATGCGCCAGCCCGAGCGGGCGTAGCCGGCGATGCCGCCGTGGAGCGTCGCTCGGCCCGCCTCGTTGGCGGGGAGGTGGACGAGGTCGCCCGTTTTCGGGTCGGTGTAGGAGGCTGTGGCGGGTGACGAGGGTCAGCCGGGCGAGGAGGGAGGGGGCGAGAGGGAGGGTGAGGACGGACCGTGAGCGATGCGGTTGGCGACGCGCCCGACGACGGCGCCAAAGTACGGGAAGCGCTTGTCGGTCAGGTACTCGGTCGTGTTGTCGTCTGTGGGGCCGAGAAAGAGTCAGCCGTGCGGTGCGAGAGGAAAGGAGAGGAGGTCGACGCACAGCCGAGGACGACGTCGCGCCACTCGCCCTCGCGGTCCTTGACCCAGAAGTCGACGAGTGTTGCACCGAGCGCTGTGCAGGCAGGGAGAGTCAGCATCAGGAGGAGGAGGCGAGGCGCGAAGAGAGGAGAGGAGGGAGGAGGACGCACGAATGAAGGTCGCGCGCGCCGAGTGGTCCTTGGTGCGGATCTCGAAGCGCTCAAAGACGTTGACGTTCGAGTGATTGCGGTACGAGTCGCGCCACTGGAGCGTGTCGTCGAGCGGCGGGAGGGCCCACAGGAGTGCGGCGGTGCTCGCGAGGAGGAGGAGGCCGGGGAGGAGGACGGCTCCGACGAGGGTGCGCCACGGGGCGTGCGTCTTGCGCGGGTCGTCGCGGCCGTGCCGAGGGTGCACGAGGTCGTCGAGGGTGAGCTGGTCGTGAGCCGTGAGCGGGACGGCTTCTTCGGCGTCGGTGGGGAGGGCGACGGGGACGGGGACGCGGGTGCGCAGGATGCGGGCGCCGAGTCGCTGTAGCATGACGGTGCTCGCGGCAGAGCCAGTCGACAGGCAGGGTGCGGTCGTGCATCCGAAGATCAGCAGTTCAACCTGTTGATAGTACGTACTAAGCTCTCATGTTTCACGTACTAAGCTCTCATGTTTAACGTACTAAGCTCGCACAGCTGTAGCAAGTACCTTAAGCAGACCCGCCTAGTCCCAAGAGAGGCGAGAGCGATGTCAAACTCGCCTCGTCGCCTCGTCCGACGGTCCTCTCGAACTCGCTCTCTCCCGCCACACGCACGCGATCAGCCGAGATGGCAGCCAAGTCGAGCTACCAGGTGCAGCAGCACCTCACAAAGGTGCGCCTCACCTCTACCTGTGCCCCTCGCCCTCTCTCGCCTCCGCTCACTCCTCCCCACACCTCGCCTCATCACCACCTCGCCCTCCCTGCCCTCGGCCACCCGCTGTGCAGCTCAAGAACCCCGATGCCGACCTGCGGTACATGGCCCTCAACGACCTCGCCAACGAGGCGCGCCAGCAAGGGTTCGCCATCGACGAGGCGACCGAGTACCAGCTCGTCGACAACGTCCTCTCGCTCGTCCAGGACATCAACGGCGAGGTCAAGAGCGTCGCCGTCAAGACGCTCGCCACCTTGGTCCCGTTCGTCCACGCCAACCGCATCCAGACCATCATCGACCGCCTCGTCCAGTTCACCGCCAGCAAGGACGAGGGCGTGCGCGACATTGCCTCGCTCGGCCTCAAGATGGTCGTCGCCAACATCCAGCCCGACTCGCCTTTGGCCCAGACGTGCTGCACCAAGCTCGCCCCCGAGGTCGTCAAGCAGCTCGCCGACCCGGCCTCGTCGGCCGAACTCGTCCTCGACTCGCTCGACCTCGTTAGCGACCTCCTGTCGCGCTTCGAGTCGACCGTGCGCACCCTCCCCAACCTCCAGCAGTCGGTCCTCAAGGCCGCCACTCCGCTCCTCGCGCACGGCCGCGCCGCCATCCGCAAGCGCACCGTCGCCACCCTCGCCGTCCTCGTCCCCTCGGCCCACTCGTCCGCCCTCCTCGACTCGCTCCTGTCGACCACCGTCCTCCCCTCGCTCCAGAAGGGCTCGTCCGACGACCACCTCCGCACGAGCATCTCGCTCGTCGGCGCCCTCGCCCGCTCGGCCCCGGCCCAGGTTGGGCCCAAGGCGGGCGCCCTCATCCCGCTCGTCCTCGAGGGCGCCGAGCGCGACGACGACGAGGGCAAGGAGGGCGTCCTCCAGTGCCTCGAGGCGTTCGTCCTCCGCTGCCCGACCGAGGCCGCCCCGCACCTGAGCGCCGTCGTCGACAAGGGCACCGAGCTGTTGCGGTACGACCCCAACTATGCCGGCGGCGACGACGACGGCGAGCAGGGCGACGAGGACGAGGCCATGGGCGACGCGTCCGACGACGAGTTCGGCGACGACGACGACTTTGACGACGACTTTGACGACGACGACGACACGTCGTGGAAGGTCCGCCGCAGCGCGACCAAGCTCCTCACGGCGTGCATCGCGACTCGCCCCGACCTCCTCGCGAGCTTCTACACGAGCGTCAGCCCGGCCCTCGTCGCCCGCTTCGGCGACCGCGAGGAGACGGTCCGCGTCGAGGTGTGGGCCACCTACACGGCCCTGCTCAAGCAGACCAAGGCCGTCGTACGCCCGGCGTCCTCGTCGTCGGCCCTGCCAGGTGGCCAGAGCCCGCGCAGCCACCTCAAGCGCAAGCGCTCCGACTCGACCGCGCCCGCGTCCGGCGCCGCCATGGACGTCGACGCGAGCCCGCTCTCGCAGCTGCACGCCCAGACGCCCCAGATCGTGCGCGCCATCGTCAAGCAGCTCGGCCTCGCCAAGGCCGTCCCGACCAAGCAGGCCGGCTTCACGCTCCTTCACGAGCTCGTCGCCGTCGTCGACGGCGGCGGCCTCGAGTCGCAGGTGCCCGCGCTCGTCACGCGCGTCGAGCAGGCCCTGCGCACGAGCGAGGGCGGCCTGTCGGGCGCCGCAACGAGCCTCAAGATCGAGGTGCTCGCGTTCCTCGCGCTCGTGTTCCGCACGCACCACGTGCGCGCGTTCGCCGACGAGCTCGACCGCGTCGTGCCCCTCGTCGCCGAGTCGATCCAGGACCGGTTCAACAAGATCGCCGCCGAGGCCTTCTCGACGGCGGCGGCCCTCGTGCGCGTCCTGCGCCCGGTCGGCCCGTCGGCCGCGTCGTCGTCGTCGAGCCCGCTCTCGGCCGAGCAGACGCAGCCGTACCTCGCGCAGCTGTACGCCGCGACCATGACCAAGGTCGCCGGCTCGGACGCCGACGAGGACGTCAAGGCGCGCGGCATGTCGACGCTCGGCGTCCTCCTCGCCCACTCGGGCGACTCGCTCCCGTCGTCCGACCTCGAGGCCGCCCTCGCCTTCCTCAAGGACCGCCTCGCCAACGAGGTGCAGCGCGTCACGGCCGTCCGCACCGTCGGCCTCGTCGCCGCGTCGCCGCTCGCGAGCGGGTCCGCCGTCGACGCGTGGGCCGCACAGTGCACGCCCGACGTCGCCGCCCTCCTGCGCAAGGTGCACCGCCCGCTCAAGCTCGCCGCGTTCGAGGCCCTCGGCGCCCTCCTGTCGCGCGTCGGCGAGAACCTGAGCAGCTCGACGGCCGACGCCCTCCTCACCGACCTCGCGCCCCTCCTCGACGCCCAGGGCGCCGACGTCACGCTCGTCCCGCACGCGCTCGCGACGCTCGTCGCCCTCCTCGACACGGGCGCCGACGACGTCGCGTCGCACGTCGAGCAGCACGCGCTCGACCGCGTCGTCGCCCTCGCCGTCTCGCCGCTCCTGTCGGCGTCGGCCGGCACGGCCACCGAGGGCCTCGTCGCCTTCTTCGAGGCGTACGTGCGCGCGCCTGGAGCCGACGGCGCAGAGGTCGTCGACCGCCTTGTCGAGGCCGGCGGCGATGCGGACGTCGCGGCCGTCGGCGTCGTCGCTCGGTGCGTCGGCGCCGTCGTCAAGGTGCAGGGCAAGCTCGCGACCAAGGTCGTCAAGGAGCAGGAGAAGGTCGTCAAGGTGCGTCCCCTCCTTTTCGCGCCCCTCTCTGGTTCAGCCCGACTGACTCTGTCGAGAGCCCCGCAGTCGAGCAAGGCGTCGACGAACGCGCTCATTCTCGCGCTCCTCACCCTCGGCGAGGTCGGTCGCGCTGTGTGCGTCCCGCCTTCTCCCTCTCTCTGCGGCGTAAGGAGGATGCAGACTGACCCGTGCTCGCACTCGCAGGGACCTCGGGTCGCACGAGGCGACGTTCAAGAAGATCGTCGAGCAGTTTGGCGCCCAATCCGAGGACGTTCGGCGCTCGGCCGCTTTCGCTGCGGGCAACATCGCCGTCGGCAACTCGAGCGCGTTCCTGCCGACCATCCTCGAGCTCATCCAGTCGGACGACAAGAAGCGCTACCTCGCGCTCCAGGCGCTCAAGGAGGTCATCATCCACTCGACGCCCGAGGCGCTCGCGTCGACGTCCGACACGCTGTGGACGCCCCTGTTCGAGAACTGCGAGGCGCAGGAGGAGGGCACCCGCAACGTCGCCGCCGACTGCCTCGGCCAGCTCACGGTCATCAACCCGGCCAAGTACCTGCCGCAGCTCCAGGCGCGCCTCTCGTCGTCGTCGCACCACACGCGCGCGACCGTCATCGCCGCCTTGCGGTTCACGTTCACCAACGACTCGACGACGTACGACGAGCTCCTCGCGCCCCTCATCGTCGAGTTCTTCAAGCTCATGCACGACTCGGACCTGGGCGTCCGCCGCCTCGCCCTGTCGTCGCTCAACTCGGCGGCGCACAACAAGCCGCACCTCGTGCGGTCGCACCTCGACACGCTCCTCCCCGAGCTGTACGCCCAGACCGAGATCGACACGAGCCTGATCCGCATGGTCGAGATGGGCCCGTTCAAGCACAAGGTCGACGACGGCCTCGACATCCGCAAGACGGCGTACGAGTGCATGCACTCGCTCCTCGACACGTGCCTCAAGGACATTGACCTCAACGCGTACCTGTCGCGCATCATCGCCGGCCTCGCCGACGAGGAGGAGGTCAAGAAGCTGTGCTACGTCATGCTCAGCAAGATGGCCCACGTCGCCCCGACCGCCGTCACTCAGCGTGAGTGCCCTCGCTCTCTCTCTCCTCCACTCGTTCGTCGCCCTCGTCGAACGAGAACTGACTGAATCCCCATGTTGGCCCTGAACGCTCAGGTCTCGACGAGACGGTCCCGTCGTTCGAAGAGACGCTCGGCATCGTGCTCAAGGACAACGCCGTCAAGCAGGAGGCCGAGCGCACGCTCGAGCTCCAGAAGAGCGCTGTCCGCTGCCTCGCCGTCCTCAACAAGCTCGCCTCGCCCGGTCCGTCCCTCGCCTTCCCTTTCTTGCGTGGCCTCAACGAGGGCCTCGAGCTCGTCGCGGAGACTGACTCGTCGCGAACCTGCAGCCGCGACGCCCAAGTTCAGCGCCTTCATCGACACGACCGTCGTCAACGGCAAGATGGCCGCCGAGGTGCGTCGGCCTCGTCCTCTCGTCGTCGCGCTCGCCTCGCTCGACAGTGCGCATCTCCTGACTTTCTGCTCCTGTGCCCGCAGTTCAAGGAGTCGTCCCGGCAGAGCCAGGTCGTCGCCATGGACCTCGACTGAGAGGTGCACGGTCACCTCCGCCTTCTCCCCCTTTCCCTCTCCCTCACTCGTTTCCTGTCCGCCTCTCCCTCGCTCTCGCAAAAGTCCGCAGTGCAGCGAATCCTTGTCAGTGCCTCTCTTCCCCTTGTCCCTATACCCCTCGCTTGATCCAGCTCTCCCTGCAACCGTGGACTCGTTCGCTTCGTCTGCTCTGGCGCCGTCTGCCAGAGAGCGAGTCAAAGAGGCCGATCTCGAGCGAGCGCGTGTCTTTCGTCGAGAGAGTGTCTCTGGGCTGTCTCGCAGCTGCAGCTGAGCCGGGCTCGAAGTTCTCGAGTCGGGCCGGCTCGACTTGAGAAGGTCGAGAAAGGTCGAGAAGCTCGAGGAGGGACAACAAGGGTTACACGCTAGGCTCGAGAGTACGGCTACACGGGAGAGTCACGCTCGTCGTGCTCTATCATCTCGACCTGCACAAAAACGCCCGAGTGCGGCCGAACCAGCGACGCGCCCGGCTCGAGCTGCCCTTCCGACTTGCCGCCGCCTCCATCTGCGCTCCGGCTCTCCTCGCCGCCATTCTCCTGCTGCCGCTCTGCGACCCAGCTCGTCGCCCCGAAGCTGATGCTCCTGCTGCCGCCCGTGCCGAAACCGGCGAAGCGAGGCAGGACCGACTCGGCTCGGTCGTGCTTGCGCAGGGTCGGGTCGCCGAGACGGGCGACGACGTTGTCGGCGACCGAGAGCGTCGTGAAGAGGCTGAGTGCATAGAGCGGCGGCAGAGGCTCCCAGAATGCGCTGCAGGAAGAAGAGCGCGTGAGCTTTTGCGGCCGACTGGACGTCGCGAGAAACCGGCGACACACTAGCAGATAAAGTTGCGGTATGGGTCGTTGATGCCCCACTGCGGACGACGAGAGTCAATGAGAGTCGCAGAAAGGTACTGCGGCGAGCGAGAGACGCACAATCTCGCCGAGAACGGCTGCGCAAAGGGAGGCCTGAGCGTCAGGTCCGGCTCGTCGACGAGAGAGGACGGTGAGGACGCACCTGCAACGACGGCGAGCACCGCTGTGTACATCGCCGTACGGACTGCAGCGAGCACGAGGAGGCGCAGCACCGACTGGCGAAGCTGGGTGCCGCCGCTGAGGCGCTTGCAGAGGGCCCAGACGTCTGCGGTCGAGGCGACGGGTCGTCAGTCACGGTCTCGCCAACACAGAGGGGGAAAGGACGACGCACAGACGCTCGTGACGAGGACGTCGACCGCCGCGACGCTCCACAGCCACAGGCTGAACCACCGTTCCCACTGCCAAGGCCACCCGGTGAACTGCGGGTCCGTGCACGGTCAGCGGGCCGCCTCTTCGCGCACAGGGTCGCGAGAGAGGGGACGCACGTCGTAATTGTGGTACAAGACGCCGATAGCGCCGTACATGCAGGACGCGAGGAGGCCGAGGAGCGCGCCCGTGCCGACGAGCGCGCCAAAAGTCCAGCGGACCCAGCGCGACGGGAGGATGCTGAGGACCCGCTGAATGAGGACCAGGTGGACCGAGAACGCGATGACGCCGGCGAGTATGGGCTCGATGGCCTGCGAATCGGTGCCATGCAGGATGAACTGGAGGTCGTCGGTCGGCAGCGTGCCGTAGAAGAAGATGTCGTGGATCGCCAGGCCGACGGACGCTGCGAGGGGTGCAAGATGCGATTTAGCTTCATGTCCTGTCTGCCGAGAAGACGAACGAGCGAGGAACGCACCCGTGACACTGAGGACAATGCCGCAAATGATCCACCTCATTCCCCGACCGCTTCGCCGCCAGGCCGGCGAGTGCAGGTACGACGAGAACTCGGACAGGAGGACGCCGTACATCATGACGGCGGCGACTTGGCCCAGTATGACAGGCCCGGTCTGCGCAACGAGGAGCACACAGTGAGCTCTGGTGGACGAGGAGTGGGGGCGGCGTCACGCACGATAGGGTCGATGTTGGGCGCGCCGGGCGGGTTCGGGTCCGCCATGGCGTCTCGAGCGAGCTAGCGGGCCGCAGGCACAGGAGGAGCGAAAGCGAGAGAGCGAGGGGAAGGAGCGAGAGCGGGGGACAGAGGGCGCGGTCGACCAGGCGGCGACGAGAACGCCGCGAGTCCCGCCGACACGACGCCGTCGCTCGTGGACCGTTCATTACGCCTGTCTTGCCGCGGTCGATCTGGAAGCAGAAGCGTTTGGAGCTGTCGCGCGCCGCGAGGCACGCGTCCAAGAACGGGAGGAGCTCGAGCGAGCGTAGGGGCGCGCCTGAGCGGCGATTCGTGGGTCCAAGCGATAGAAGCCGCGATCCCAAGGGCCCACAGCAGTGGCGCAGCTCGCGCGAGACGGGGAGCCACGAGGAGAGAGGGTCAAAGGCGAACGAGCTGATGAAGCGTTGCGGTTGGCGGGCGACGAGTTGACCCGCTCGCCTTCTCGTCGTACCTGCTCGCGAGCTGTTCAAGCCTGCCTGACGTTCTCAGCACAGCACGAGAAGCACCGAGAGCGGCGCACCGAAGCTTCGAGGCGATTGAGCGCAGACAGCCGCGGCGAACTCCTGCGAGCGAGCGACGCCTCGCAGCCTCGAGCCTCCTCTCGCTCAGTGGGGGACACGCAATGCTATAGTGCACAAGAAAGGATAACAACAAGACCCATGCCTCGAGAGCAAACCGAGCCGTCCCTCCCACCTCGCTCACGAGAGCCCGCCGCCCGTCACCTCGCTCGGCACGTCCACCATGGCCGCCGCGCCGCAGCCGACGTCACCTGCGAGCCGCACCGTCGCGCACGCTTGGCGGTAGAGCGCCTCGAGGGCGGGGACGGGCGGGAGGCCGGCGGCACCTGCGGGCGAGCGAGGCACAGTCAGGCTCGTGGACGACCCGGCAACGAGAGGAGGGAGGAAAGAGAGAGAGGACGCACGCAGTACCGCCGCATTCACCTCGTCGGCCACCTTGTCGCGCTCCTTGTCGCTCAGGAGCTCGAGCGTCCTCCCGCTCGCCTCGCGCTCCGGGTCGCTGTACGCGACGAGGCCGAGCACGGCCTGCAGCTCTTCTCGCACGGCCGGCCGCACGTCGGTCGAGTACGCTTTGTGCAGCAGCTGGCCGCGATCGAGGAGCGCGTCGAGGTCGCCGGCGCCCGCCGCCGAGGGGGACGAGGATGCGCCGGCGGGGTCGCGACCGGCGCGGCTGAGTGCGAGCGCGGCCTCGATGAAGGCGCGACAACGTAGGCGGAAGAAGAGGCCGCCGTGCGGGTCGTCTGTGAGGCCCTCGAGGATCGCGTCGTGGTAGTACGCGTCGAGGAGGGCGACGACGTCGTCGATGCGGCCGGCGAGCGCCGCCGACCGGATGTCGGCCCGTACGGCTGACGACTCGGCGGCGCTCGCGAATACGCCGTCGGTCGCGCGTTCTGCGTCATCAACGACGGGAGGAGGCGCTGCTCGGCCGGGCCCGAGGCCCTGCGCACGCTCGATGCGCTCGGCGCGGACCTGGGCCTCGAACGACGCGGCGGTGCCGGCGTAGCCGTGGTGGACGAGGTACGACGAGACGAGCGACTGGAGCGTCTCGTGGGTGCGCTCGGCGGGACAAGTAGGGAGGAGGGCAGGGATCGAGGGCGAGGGCGAGGGAAGGAAGGAAGATGGGGAAGGGTCGGTGCTGGCGAGGCGAGCGAGGACGGCACGCTTGCGCTCCTGCAGGGCGTGGACGAGGTGTCAGTCAGGAATGAAGGACGGAGAGAAGGGCAAAACGAGGGACGCACGAGGACGAGCCCCTCGATGTCGAACTTGAACGGCACGGCGCCAAAGTTGACCCGGACGGCCTCATTGGGCGTGCGCAGGCCGACAGTCGGGTACAGCTTGCCCTGAAGGCCGCAGAAGGCGTAACCTGCGAGGCGAGGGAAGAAGCGTGAGCCACAGTTCGCTTGTCCGGCGCCGGTCGCCGAGGACCGAGAGAGGGAGGAGCGAGGGAAAGGAGAGACGCACCGAGGAACTCGCCGTTCTTGGTGAAGAAGACGCGCCCGCCGCCCTTGTCGCCGTCCTTGTCCTTGCCCCGCCCGAGCTGCCGCGGCGCGCGCTCGCGCTCGCCTCGCGGCGGCCCTGCGCCCGTCCAGTCGATCCCGCACCCGACCGTGTCGCCCGTGGTCCACGTCTCGGCAAACGCCTCGCCGTTGCCCTGGGCGCAGAACGCGCGGCCGTCGTCGGCGTGGTAGCCGTACGACTTGTCCTCCCAGCCGGGGAGCCGGCCGAGCGGGACGCTGCGGTCGCTCAGGCCGATGCCGATGTACCCGGACAGGCCGCGGTCGAGGACCTGCACCTCGTAGTAGTAGACGCCGGCCTGGGGCGGGACGGGCCGGTTGGCGCGCACGGCGGCGGCGTCGCGGTCGCCGTACTTGGCCGAGCCCGCGAACGAGACGCCGAGCCCGTCCGAAGTGAGCTCGAGGAGGGCGCAGCGGTCGGCCTCGTCCCAGCACGTCGGGAGCGGGATGTGGGTGTTGTCAGTCGAGGCGCGGCCTTTGCCCTTGTCGTCGCGGGTGAGCGAGGCGGGCTTGCGGGCGAGGTCGTTGACGGCGGTGTCGGCGGTCGAGGGGACGGTCTCGAAGCGGTCGGCGAAGAGGGTGGCATGTCGGAGGTAGGCAGGGACGGGGAAGGGACGCTGGAACGTCGACGACATGGTGCTGGCGGCCGAGGGCGAGTCTGTCGAGGAGGCGGGTGGGGGAAGTTGAGCGGCGGACCGGCGCGGCGAGACGGGGAGGCGGTTCGAGCCACTGAGGGGAGCCGCAGGGTGGGTGTGGTTCGGGTACAGGCTCCCTCGAGGCAACGGGAGCGACATGGACAGGTCGCCCACGCTCGAGGGCAGATGACGGCGGGCCGGCGAGGCGCGGCGGTGAGGGTGAGGCGGCGCGCTGGCGGGATGGGTTGTGGCGAGCACTCGTGGATAGCGGGTGGCTCGGTGGTCGCAAGCGTGCTCGTCCAGGCGATGAGAGCGAGGCGCTGCTGTCGGGTGAGGAACGAGAGGTTGGCGCCGCGGAGTGCGTCCACCGGCGACACAGCTCTCGCTCGTTCTGGTACTCTCACCGCACGTCTCGCTGTCTCTGCACAGGACAATCAGGGCGACAGCTTTCGAGCGGGGCAGGCCAGAGCTCTCTCAGTCGTGCACGCGCCGTCCGACGTCCTCGCTCTGCTCAAGGACCGTTGCAGCGCACAAGCTACTCGAACCCGCGCAGGTTCCTCAGGTTCGCCCTCACCGTGTCGGCGTCGGTCCCGACCGCGGCCGCGAGCTCGTTCTGGTACTCGAGCGGGAGCGTCTCGAACGTCGCGAGCAGGTCGCCGTCGAGGATGCCCTTGACAATGGCGCGCGACACCGAGTCGTTCTTGACGATGCTGCGAGGCGAGATCGAGAGGGGTCAGTCTGCTGCCGCGCCGGCGAGAGAGACACGAGACGAGGGAGGGGAGGAGAGAGAGAGGGGACGCACCGGTGACCTCGCGGGTTCAGGCCCGCAAAGTGCAGCACGTGCCTCGTCATCGTCGCCTGGAGCGACTGCAGCCGGCGAAAGACGGCGTCACGGACGGGCACGAGCGTCGACAGCGAGCCGTCGAGGCCGCCGTACAGGATGCCGTTCTGCCGCGCGTCCTCGCCCGGCGCGTGCTTGGCGAACAGGATGCTCGCGTGCGACTCGCTCCCGGCGTGGAACTCGGTGCGGCACAGGAGGCGCTGGCCGGCGTACGAGGCGATGTCTGCGTGGCGCGAGAGAGAGAGACAGAGTCAGTGTCAGGTCGAGGCGTACGAGGAGAAGGTCGCAGGGAGGGACGGGCGGGCTCACTCGTCGGGTCGTACTCGAACAAGCGCAGGTTGCCGCCGTCGTCGTTCGACACGAACGCGACCTTGCCCTCGTTGACGATAAAGTTGGCGCTCCCGACGCGCGAGGGGCGGTAGTCGCGGCCGAGCAGGACGAGCTTGTACGGGTCCTCCTGGAACGCGACGAGCGAGATGCTCTGCTGCTCGTCGCCGATGAGGAGAAAGTTCTTGAGCGCCGTCAGGCTCTTGACGTGGACGCCGACGTCGAGGAACCCGACCGCGAGGAGGAACTCGTCCTGCTCGAACGCGCGAGCGTACAGCTTCTGGCCCATCGACAGGAACAGGTAGCCGTTGAGGTCGCACACGTTGTTGACGGCCGCCTTCGAGTCCTCGAAGAACAGGAGCCGCAACTGGTGCGTCAGGTGCGGCGTCGACGGGTGCGGGTTGACGGCCACGACCTCGAACACGTAGATCTGCAGGACGCGCTCGGCGAGTCAGTGCCGGTCGTTCCACCTGGACAACGCGAACAGTGGGAGACGGGACGTACGCCACCCTTGGTCGCCAGGTCCTCGGCGCGGTACACGGCCGTGCCGACGGCGAGAAAGTCGCGCTGCCCGGATGCCCTGCTCCTCGACGCGAGGCTGACCGACTTGAGCGACGTGACAAACTCGTTCTGGCGGAACTCGTAGCTGCAGGAGGAGGGGAGGAAGGTAAGGTGCCGCACAAGAAAAGGGTGTGGCAAGACGAGGACGAACCCGTGAATGGCCTGCCACGAGCCCGGTGTCAAGAGCTCGAGCGTCGAGCGGTAGTTAGTCGGCTCGATCAGGCTCGGCTCTGCGCACGAGGGGATCGAGAGTGAGCGCATGTCCGTCAACGACGACGAGAGACGGGGCGACAGAGCGAGAGGGCGCACCTTGCTCCCTCCACAGCGGCTGGCCGTCCTCGTCGAACGCGACAAAGCGAGTCTCGTTGAGCGTCGCGCCGACGTACAGGCCCGACTCGAGGTCGAACGCGAGGTGGGCATAGACGCGGTCCTTGGGCACGTGCGTGTAGGGCATGGGCGTGTCGAGCGTGAGGGCGGCTGGAAGGCGTGCGACAAAGAGGCCCTGCGGGTGCGCAGGCGTCAGGTCGTCCGCCTCCTGAGCTCGACGAGGAGGAAAGAAAGAGACGGGGGACGCACCTCACGAGTCTGCATCGCCATCTCGTCCCCCTCGCGCTCGCCCCCTCGCTCGTCCTGCTGCTGCCCGCCACCGAGCTCGACGGCGCCGTACACGCCCCGCTCGGCGTTCTCGACCGCTCGCACAGGCCCATGCGCGCCCTTGACGAGCCACACGGCCTCCTCGCCCGTGACGAGGACCGCGGCGCCCGCGCTCGAGAGCGACGCAAAGGGGACGAACTCGCGCCGAGGTGGCGGGAGGTCGGCGGGTGAAGATGTGGCGCCCTTGCGGCGAATGGGCGCGCTCGGGAGGTGCCGCACGAGGGTCTTGACGAAGCGGGTGGCGAGACGAGGTGGTCGAGGAGAGGAGGGAGGGACAGACGGGACGGCCGAGCGGGAGGGGAACGACTCGTAGACAGCGAGCTGGCCGTTGGTGAGGAGGATCTGCGGTCAAGAGACGACGACGTGAGCGAGGAGCTAGGAGGAGAAGAGAACGAGAGGAGCGGACCATGAGGTGGAGCGACTGGTGGCGCTCGGGCCCGAGGTACGCGACGACGACGCGATCGACCTTGATGTCGTCCTCGTCGATGCCCTCGGGGATGACGCGCTCCTTCTCGCCGTCCTCGAGAACGTCGGGGAAGAGCGACACGGCCGAGGACGAGAAGATCTCGTCGCCCGAAGGCAGGAGCCGAATCTGCGAGCGACGGCGAGAGGGTCAGGGCCGCTCGACAGCGTCGTGCACGTAAAGAGAGGGAGCGAGAGACGCACTTGCAGGTCACCCTGAGCGTCCACCTCGGCGACCCACTCCCACTTGTCGCCCTCCTCCCCACCCATCTCCCTCGGGTCGACGACCTGCGCCTCTTCCGCTCCCGCACCCGGCGCCGCCTCCTTCTCCCCCTCGTCCTTCTCCCCATACAAGTCCTCCTCCTCCATCGCCTCGTCCTCCTCCCTCCTCGCTCCCCTCGGCGCACTCACCGCCGGCCGCACGAGCTCGACGGCCCCTCGCTCATCGACAAACGCCGCAGCGCGCGCGCCGCCCCGGCCCTCGCGCGGTCGCCGCTCGTCCTCGAGCACGGCGAGGCCGTCCGTGGCGCTGTAGCGCACGACGAGCGGGGCGGTGCGCGCGCGGGCGCCGGACGCGACGGGCGCGTGGACGACGAGGGTCGAGGGGGTGAGGGAGGCGTGCGGCGAGTGGGCGCGAGGGTCGAGCGCGAAGGGGAGCGGGAGCGCCTGCAGGGCGTTGAGGTCTGTGCGCCATCATGGCCCGGACCACAGTCAGTCGTTGCCTGAGGGGGGCATGCACGGACAGGAGAGCTCGACGTGGGACGCACTGGCGTCGTAGGCCCGAATCGTGTCCTTGGACACGGTGACGAGCGCCGCGCCGTCGCCCATGGCGCCCGCAAAGACCGCAGGCGACTCGCCCTCGTCCGACAGGTGCTGGAGCTGGAGCTCGTCGACGCCGGGCACGCTCGAGCCGTACAACTGGGCAGACGGGGGTCAGTCCCGGTCGCTCGCTACGGCGAGAGGCGAGAAAGAGGGAAGAGAGAGAGACGCACCATCGTCCTCGAGGCGTCGCTCGCGACCCACACGACCCGCGCCTCGCCGCCGCCGGCTCGAGGAGCGAGCGGCACCCTCCACAAGCCCGCTGTCGGCACGAAAGGCGGGATCGCCGACGCGTCCTCGGTCGCGACCGAGTTGAGCGTCGAGGGAAGGTGTAAAGGGCGTCGGGCGCGAGGGTAGAGGGTGCGCTGATGGAGAGGGGGGGGCGACGTCAGGTCGGGCGGGCTGAACGAAGGAGAGACAAAGAGAGACGAGGACGCACGTGAAAGATGGTCAGGCCAGCTGACTTGCCCGCGCCCGTAGCAGCGACGAGCTCTGCCGGCGACTGCGAGGGGGGAGAGAGGCGTGAGTAGACGTCCTCGCTCGAGCCCCTCTCGAGGAGGAGTGAAAGAGGAAGGAGGAGGGCGCACCTCGTCGTCGACCAAGCCCATGACCAAGCTCCTCACGGCGCCGTACCCGCCAATCGTGTCCTCGACGACGAGCTCGATGCTGCGCCCGTCATCAGCAGCGCCGCCTGCGCCGTTTGGGCCCGACGCGCCGCCGCCGAGCGCGGCGGCGAGGTTGGCGAGCGCCGAGGTGGACGGCAGGGCGGGCGCAACGGCTGCGCTCGGGGCCGACGAGTCGCCGTAGATGTCTGTGCGCGGGACGCGAGTCAGTGAACGTCGCGAGGGGACAAGAGTGGGAAGTGGCGGACGCACCGTCCTCGTCAAAGTCCATCTCGACCTCGTCATCGTGCCGGTCCCGCCGCGGCGGTTCCGCCGTCGCGTTCCCCTGCGCCGCCTCGTTCCCGTCACCCTGCGCGCCGTCCAGCACGTCCTCGCCTGCTCCCCCTCGTGCCGCCCCCTCGCCGCCACCCGCCGCCGCCCTCTCGTCGCCCTTGTACCGCCACCTCAGGACGGCGCACGCCGCGCTCTCACTCGCGACAAACACCCTCCCTTGCCTCGCTCTCGCGCCGCCCTCGACGCGCACGAGCGCCGTCGGGCCCGCGCCCGTGACGTGCGCCGCGTCGGCGACGCGCTCGAGGCGCAGGGCCGCGACCGAGCGGCCGGCGAGCTCGAACGAGAGCGAGAGGACGGCGCCCGAGGGGCACCACACGAGGGCGCGCACGGCTGCTGCTGCGCTCGACGAGGCGTCGCCGCCGCCTCCGCCGCCGCAGTCGCCCGAGTCGTCGTCGTCCGAGTCGTTGGCGTGCGACACGAAGGCGACCTGGGCGCCCTCGAGCTTCTCGCAGATGGGCGCCTCTGCTCCTCCTCCTGCTCCTCCCGCCGACGCCGGCGCGTCGAGCCCAGGTGGGCGCGCTCGGCCGGGCGGGTAGTCGCGCGCGAGCCAGCCGTTGGCCGGGCACGCGACGACGCGGCCCGACTGGTCGAGGTGGAGGAGGCCGTTGGCGGTCGTGAGGAGGACGCCGCCGACGGCGGGTGGGCACGCCGTCAGGGTCTGGCACGAGTAAGGGAGCGGTGGCGAGGTCGAGATGACGGTTGCGCGGGTCGAGGCGCCGCCGGACGAGGTCGACGACGACGACGAGGACGAGGTGGTGGTCGTGAGGGTGACGAGCGACACGAGGTAGTTGTGCGCGAGGTGCTCGAGGCGACCGGACCAGGTCCACTCGGGGGCGTACAGGAGGGCGAGGGTCGGCTCGGTGAAGCCGGGGAGGAACGCCATCGAGACGACGTTGCGGACGGGAGGGGGTGCGCCGGGGAGGAACGCGTTGGACGCGGTCGAGGCTTGGGCCGAGGGGAGCGTCGACGAGCGCGAGGCGGTCGTCAGGGCGGCCGTGGCCGACTGCGAGGGCGCCGTGAGGGACGCGAGAGGGACGAGGTGCGAGGGTGCGTATGGGATCCTGCGCAGGCACGAGGAGAGGGTCAGGGCGTCCCCAAGGCCGGGCCGAAGGAGCCAGCGAGAGAGGGTTGCTCACGATCCGCCTTTGCCCTGCTGGTCCTCCCACGCGTCCTGGTCCATGCCGAGGCCCTCGAGGTCGAGGTCGTCGGCGAAGAAGGGCAAGAGGGCGAGGGTCGCGTCGCCGCCCGAGTTTGTCGGGAGGAGCATGGCGGCGAGGCGCGACGAGGGGTCGACGGCGACCATGGTCGGGCGGTCCTCGGCGACCTGGGGCAGCTTCTCGAACGTGTGGAGCGAGACGGGGACGAGGTCGTGCGCCGAGGCGGACCACTCGAGGAGCGTCATCTGCGGGGGGGCGGTCGCGGGTGGGTTAGTCTGTCTGTGAGGGATTGTGCTGGAGTGGTAGACAAGGGGCGGACCTTTGCATGGCGGAACGAGACGAGGAGGCGGTGAGCGTGGTCGTGCTTGGAGGCGAGGGTGGATACGCGGTCGAGCGAGACGACGTGGCCCTGGAGGTGGCGGGTGAGGACGTGGTCGAGGTGGCCATGGTCGGTGAGGCGGTACACGGTCAGGCGGTTGTTGTGGGCCGTGACGAGGTGGGTCGAGTGTGGGGAGAGGGAGCAGCTCAGGGCGAGGTGAGCTCCCGAGGGAGGCTGCACCTGGCGGTACTGGGCCGTCAGTGGGGCCATGGGCGTGGCTGTCCCTGCGGACGGTGGGTCCAGGCAGGACCTTGATCGAGCGAGAGGGAGGGGAGCGAGGTCGAGGTCGAGGTCGGTCGAGCACGAGGAGGACGACGACGGCGGGCGGCTCCCCCTCCCTCGCCTCTCTCGGCTAGACACTCGCTGCTGCTCGCACACCGGCCACCTGCGACTCGCACCAGGGCCTGATCGCGACCCTCGACCACCCCTCCCTCATTTGCGCCGCCCCCCGATCGACCCTTCCCCCTCCTCCTCCTCCCCTCGACGCGCTCCACCCCTCTCGCCATGGGTGCCTGTTCGAGCTGCTGCAGGGGTCCGTCCCGCTCCCTCCCCCTTCACCCAGAGGGCACACCCACTGACCCACCACCACCACCCCGCCCAACAGGCTCCACAAAGTCGGCCCCGTACGAGCCCCTCCTCCTCGACAACGAGCGCGAGGCCGTCGCCGACCTCCTCCAGTACCTCGAGAACCGCCAGGACACCAACTTCTTCACGGGCGAGCCCCTCGGCGCCCTGTCGACCCTCTCCTACTCGGACAACGTCGACCTGCAGCGCTCGGCCGCCCTCGCGTTTGCCGAAATCACCGAGAAGGACGTCCGCGAGGTGTCGCGCGAGACGCTCGAACCCATCCTCTTCCTCCTCAACTCGCACGACGTCGAGGTCCAGCGCGCCGCGTCGGCCGCCCTCGGCAACCTCGCCGTCAACGGTCCGTCCCCTCTCGTCGCTCCCCTCCCTCGCTCGGGGTCACTCGACTGACTCAGTCTCTACGCCCTCACAGCCGAGAACAAGCTCACGATCGTCAAGCTCGGCGGCCTCGAGCCCCTCATCCGCCAGATGCTGTCGCCCAACGTCGAGGTCCAGTGCAACGCCGTCGGGTGCATCACCAACCTCGCGACGCACGGTGCGCCCCGACCTTACCCTCTCTCTCTCTCTCTTTCTGTCGTGCGAGCGACCCTGACTCTGTGTGCGCGCCCCACCAGACGAGAACAAGTCGCGCATCGCCCGCTCGGGCGCCCTGTCGCCCCTGACGCGCCTCGCCAAGTCCAAGGACATGCGCGTCCAGCGCAACGCGACCGGCGCCCTCCTCAACATGACGCACAGCGACGACAACCGGCAGCAGCTCGTCGCGGCGGGCGCCATCCCCGTCCTCGTCAACCTCCTCGCGTCGACCGACACCGACGTCCAGTACTACTGCACGACGGCCCTCAGCAACATTGCCGTCGACGCCGACAACCGCCGCAAGCTGCAGCAGTCCGAGCCGCGCCTCGTCGCCAACCTGATCGGCCTCATGGACTCGCCGAGCCTCAAGGTCCAGTGCCAGGCCGCCCTCGCCCTGCGCAACCTCGCGTCCGACGGTGCGTCCCTCTCGCCTACTTCCCACCTGCCCCGGACTCGTCTGTCCCGACGAGATTTGAGGCTACGTCCAGGTCGCCGGTCTGGGACTGACACACGTTCTCCTTCCCCCGTCGCAGAGAAGTACCAGGTCGAAATCGTCAAGCACGGCGGCCTTCCCGCCCTCCTGCGCCTCCTGCGCTCGTCGTTCCTCCCGCTCGTCCTGTCGGCCGCCGCGTGCGTGCGCAACGTGTCGATCCACCCGGCCAACGAGTCGCCCATCATCGAGTCTGGGTTCCTCGCCCCCTTGATCGACCTGCTCGCGTACGACGAGAACGAGGAGATCCAGTGCCACGCCATCTCGACCCTGCGCAACCTGGCCGCGTCGAGCGAGGGCAACAAGCGCGCTATCGTCGATGCCGGCGCGGCCGAGCGCATTCGCGACCTCGTCCTCCAGGTCCCGGTCGCCGTCCAGAGCGAGATGACGGCGTGCGCGGCCGTTCTCGGCCTGTCTGGTGCGTCCCTGGCCCAACCTCTCTCTCTCACTTTCTCTCTCGTTCCCCAGACCGGCGCCGGGCCTCGCGCCGCCCGACGACCTCGCACTGACCCCCCGTCTCGCGGCGCCCACAGAGGACATCAAGACGGAGCTCCTCGACCTCGGCATCCTCGACGTCCTCATCCCGCTCACGGCCTCGCCGAGCGTCGAGGTGCAGGGCAACGCGGCGGCAGCGATCGGCAACCTCTCGAGCAAAAGTGCGTCCTCGTACCGCTCCTTCTTCTGTCTTTGCCCTTCCCGGCCCGTGAGGATCACCCCCCCTGACTCGTACTTTCTCCCTCGCCGCAGCCGACGACTACTCGCCGTTCGCCGCCGCGTGGGACTCGCCCGACAACGGCCTGCGCGGGTACCTGCAGCAGTTCCTCGCGAGCGACGACTCGACGTTCCGCCACATCGCCGTCTGGACCCTCGTGCAGCTCCTCGAGTCGCAGGGTGCGTCATCATCTCACCTTCTCTCGTCCTCGTCATTGCGGGACTCGTCGCGTCGCGCCTCGTCGTCGTCGTCGGCCCCGCACTGACCCCCCCACTTTCCCTCCCTCTCTCTCTCTCGCGCAGACGAGGCGCTCGAGTCGCTCATCCGCAACGCGACCTCGCTGCGCACGCTCGTCGCCGAGCTCGCCGCCGCGCCGCTCCCGCAGTCGGCGTCGTCGGCCGCGTCGGACAACGACGACGACGACGACGACGACGAGGACCCGGACGGCGGCGAGCGCGAGATTGTCGAGCTCGCGCGCACGGCGGCTGAGCTCATGGACGAGCCGGTGCGCGACTAGTTCGGCTCGTCGATTGTCGACGGCGTCGGCGCCCCTGCGTTTACCTCTACCTCTGCCTCGCCGTCGTTGACGGCGCTCGCCTTCTCTCTCGTTCTCGTGCCCTTGACGTAGTGTGCCTTTCTCTCTGATCTAGCTCGTGTCCATCCGTTGTAATCTGCGACTCATTCTTTCACTCGCACGAGGAACCCTGATCGCGCGCGAGCTGAGAGCCAGGGAGGGAGCTTCTCGCGTGAAGACGAGACGGAGGAAGAGTACGCCATGACTGAACCGTAGGTACTCCTCGGTTCAGGCAGTGTGTGTTTGAGGGTACGACAAAGAGATCGAGCAAGTCGGTATACGTGCAGCGTCCACTTTTGCTCTCTCGTCCTTGCTTGCTCGCGAAGGCCTGTCTCTCTCGTTCTCTCCGGGTCCGAGGCCGAGTCGAGGAGACTGCGAGAACGAGCGAAAGTCGAGTCGACGTTGCAAGGAGAGCGACAGAGTACAACTCGCGAGAACGAGGCCCGCCCTCCTCTCTCTCTCTCCCTCCTGCGCACTCTCGGCGACACGCGACGACGGCACCGCCTCGCCGACGCGAACGACGTATCGCGCACCGTCCTGCTGCGAGTCGAGCGTGAGCTGGCGAGCGGCGCTGAGGCGGTAGGTCGACAGGGCTGCGGCGCCGCGGCGGGAGCGGCTCGAGCGTGCGAGTCGCTCGACGACGACGACGGCGAGGCCGCCGCTCGACGACGCGCGAGGTGAGGTGTCGTGCATGCCGCTCGTGCTCAGGCGGAGCTCGACGTCCTCGATGAGGCAGGCGTTCGACGGCTTTGGCGACGAGCAGAACCCGCCCGACGGTCGACCTTCTCGAGTTGAGCGGCGCCCGAACCTTGTCGGCGAGTGCTGCGCCGAGCGTGGCTCCGTGCCGCGACGAGGGGGTGCGTCTCCTTGTGGCCAGAAGGGGGAGATGAATGTCGAAGAGAGCGAGAGAGGCTGCGGGCGCGTGGAGAGAATCAGTCACGGTCCGTCGCTCGATGAGGACAAACTGCGAGTTGCGACGCACCGATGCCGAGCGAAGCAGAAGAATGGTGCTGCCCTCGCGCCCCTTTCCCGCCGTCGTGGCCGCGCAGAAGCCATCTCCTGCTCCTCCTGCTCGTCCGCTCCAACGAGGCCCGTGCAACTCTCAGTCCGCCCGCCGCGCCTCGCCGTGATCCCCACCGTGTCCGTGTGCCATGCTGGAGGAGGACCAGCGTCGCGGTCGTGTCGCAACGTGCAGAACGAGGCGAGGGCGATGACGTCGAGGAGGAGGGAGGCGGTGCGAGGAGGTGAGGAACTTGTCGGCGGCTGTGGCTCGGCTTTGGCGCAGTGAGGGGGTTGACTGGGCTGAGGGAAGCTGCTGAGGTCGGCTAGGGCAGTTCTGGACGGCCACACGGGCGTGGAGCGCCGAGATGTGAGGTTGGCGGACAAAGGCGCGAGAGGGGAGGAGCAGCGAAGCGAGTTGGCGCTCTGGACGCGTCGAACGCGGTGGCGGTGTCGAAAGAGAGCTGGAAAAGGTGCACGAGCGTGTAGCTGCTCGGCTCGTGCGAGTGCAGAGGAGGGAGGAGCGCGGTCAGATGAAGCTGCCGCCTCGCTTCCCCTCTCCTCTCTCCCACGACAGCTACTACTCGCACGAACGCAGGCTAGCCGACAGCTGCTTCGTGCCAGGCCGCCGGCCATGGCGCCAGCCACCCGCATCCCCGCCTCAGCGCCAACCTCGCTGGCCGCTCCTCCTCGCCGCCTCCCTCCTCGCGACGACGAGCCACCTCCCGCTCCTCATCCACAACGCGGGCCCGCCCCCCGACGCGCCGACGGCCTTCCCGTCGCCTCTGCCCCGGCTGCCGGCAAGGCCCGCCGTGTCGCCGTCGCCCAGCCGGCGCCTCCCGTCCCGACCTCGACCACGACCTCGAGCTCGTACAAGGGCCGGTCGGCCGACGCGCGCGGGCAAGGAGGGGCGTCCAGGGTCAAGCCCAGTCAGTGCAGGACGGTGCCCGAGCCGTTGAAGCACAAGCCCGGAACTGCCTCGACCGCCGCGACCTCGCGCCAACCCGGCGCCGCGCCCTCGTCCACTGCCCGCCGCGACGCCGCCGCCGCCGCCGCAGCCCCGTCGACCGTCGTCGCCAACAAGAAGCGCAAGTCGGTCGCCGTCGAGGCCGAGCCGGCCAAGCGCGCGCGCACGGGCGGCCCGCAGCCCTCGCGCGTGGAGGTGGCCGAGGACGTCGCCGTGCGCGGTCAAGGGCGCGCCAAGGTCGCGGGCAAGACGAGCAGCCGCAGCTCGGGCTTGCGAGGTCGGCGCGACCAGGGCAAGGGCGCGGGCGCGGGTAAGATCGAGGCGCGCCCGTCCAAGTTCGCCGGTGCGTCGGGCGCCTCGTCACCCGAGCGCGCGCACAAGGACCCGCAGCTCGAGCAGCACGGCAAGGTCGCCTTCAACGCCGACGGCGTGCCGGTCGTCGCGAGCAAGAAGCGCAAGGTGCACGCCCTCGTCGACGAGGTGCAGCTCGAGAACGAGGTGCGTCTCTCGTCCTCCTCCCTCTCGCCTCTGCAGGATAGAGCTCATCATGTCGTCCCTCCCCGCAGAACGACGACGCCTCTCGCGGCAACAAGAAGCGCAAGAGCAACGCCGCACGCGCGGCGCTCACGCCCTCGCCGCCTCGTCGCCGTCGCCCTGCGCCCGCACCTTCCGGCCGAGCCGCCCCGGCGCCGCAGCCCCAGGTCCCCGCCCAGCTCCAGCGCCCGCCCGTGCCCGGCCGCAACCCGTCGTCGAGGGTGCACGACGTCGCGCACCGGCGCAACGCCTCGGCGCCGGCACCGGCGCTCAAGCCCTCGGCGGCCTTCGTGGGCCCGCCCCCGCCGCGCCCTCCCGTGCCACGCCCCTCGCCCAAGTTCCTCCCCAACGCGGCCAAGCGCGAAAAGGACCGCGCCGAGGGCGTCAAGGCGCGCGTGCCGGAGCCGACGACAGCGCTGTACCGGCGCCAGGGCAGCGCGCTCGCAGGCGCCGCTCAGCCTCGCGGCCCGCTCGTCGCCGTCAAAACCGTCGGCAAGAGCAAGAAGGTCGTCGTCGCTGAGCCGCAGCCGCAGCCGCAGCCGCCGCGAGCCGAGAAGCCGCAGCGCAGCCGCAGCACGGGCCAGGGTGCCAGTCGCGGCGGGGGCGACGTCGAGTCGGCGCGCGACCTGCGCCACGAGCGCTACGAGCGCGTCGAGCGGGACGAGCGCCAGGTGCCGAGAGCGGCGACGACGAGCGGCGCACTCGCCGGGCCCGGCCCGAGGAGCGAGGCGGCGGCGAGCGCGGCGCGGCAGATGGCGCTCGTGCGGGGCGAGGGGGGCGCGCCGGGCGTTGGCGAGGTCAAGGGGAGAGGAGGGGGCACGGGCATGGAGCGGGTCCGGGCCGGGAAGGCGGCAGCAGGGCGGTCGATGGCGGAGGACGTTGAGGCGCAGCGGGCGCTACACGCGGCCGTCAAGGGGCTCAGGGTCAGAGCCTATCTGGCGAAGCAGGGGCCAGAGGTACGTCCTCGACCTTCTCCACCTCCCCTCGTTGTCGCAGAGGACGAGCTTGAGCGCGAACTGACCATCGCTCGTCCGCTCTGCAGCAGAAGGAGTCGGCCAACTCGGTCGGCCCTGACTCGGACAACTCGCTCGTCGGGTACGAGGAGCTCGTCGACGTGAGTCCCCTTCCTCTGCCTCTCTCGCCTCGTCCCGCCGAGCCGAACTGACCCACGCACACGGCGACCCGCAGAACGCCGACGACGACGTCGCCCTCCTCAACGAGGCGCAGCCCGCGCTCGACCCGTCGAGCGCCGGCGATGACGACGACGACGACGAGCTGCGCGAGCGCGCGCCCGACGACGCACTCGAGCGGCGCCGACGCGCCGACGCCTGGGCGGCCGGGCGGCACGAGCGCGGGCTGCGCAACGCCCGCCTGCGTGCGGAGCGCGAGTACTGGGAGGCCGAGTGGCGCGACTTGACGCGCCGCTACGATGAGTTTGTCGCGAGCGAGCGAGCGGCGCGCGAGGCGTTGTGGCAGGAGGTGTGCGCGCTCGAGGAGGCGGCTCGTCGCCATGTGCGTCCCCTCTTCTCGCGCATCGGCTCCTGTCCCTCCTCGCGAACGCGCAGCGGATCCTGACCCTCGCCTTTCGCCCCCTCGCAGCTCGCCACCCTCGCCGACCTCGACTCGTCCGCCTCATCCGCGGCCGCGAGCGACGGCGCCGACGACGCGCAGCCCTCGCCGCGCCTCCCGCACCCGCACCAGCGCCGCCGCAGCTCGGTCGTGCACGAGCAGCGCCAGGGCGAGCGGGCGAGCGACGTCGAGGAGGAGGTCGAGGAGGGCCCGGCGGGAGCGCCCGAGCGGGAGCAGGAGCAGGAGGACGACCTGGGGCCGGTCGGCGCCGCCGAGCTCGACGAGGACGACGGCGCGGGCGAGGAGGATGGTGCGGTACAGCAGGGTGTCGGGCAGGCGGCACAAGGCCAGCTCGACGAGGGCGAAGCCGAGGTGCGCTCCCCTCTCCCTCGCCTCGCTCCCTCTCTCTCTCTCGCGCGAGAATACTGACTCCCTGCACTCGCAGGGTCGCTCGTCATCGCCCGTCCAGCATGCTCAGCAGCACGCCGCCGACCAGGTGCGTCGCCCGTCCGACTTGCGCTCGACCCTCCTCTTCCTCGGGCGGCCCTGACTCTCGTCCTCTCCTTTCCTCCTCGCCCTCGCAGGACAAGCGCGTCGTCGAGCAGGGCGACGACGACGGCTACATCTTCGACCAGGACTTTGGCGGCGGCGCGAGCAGCAGCAGCCCGCCGGCCGACCCCGACCGCCGCCGCGCCAGCCTCGACCCGCGCGCCGACCACCGCCCCTCGCCCTCACCCTCACGCTCACCCTCGCCCTCGCCCTCGCCCTCGTCTCAGCCCGAGCCCGAGCCCGCCGCCGCCAAGCGCCAGACGGTCCGCCAGCCGGCCGCCGCCGCCGCCAAGAAGGCGCCTCAACCCGCCGCGCAGCCTGCGCCTCGCCCCGTCCTGCCCCCGAGCAAGGCCCGTCCACCCGCCGTGCGCCCGCCGGGCGCCCCGTCCGCGCGCACCTCGCGCACTGGCGCAGCCGCCTCGCGCTCGTCCGTCGAGGAGCGCACCCGCCCTCGCCCGCCGCCGCCGTCGTCGCCCGACTCGCGCGCCGCGACGAACAAGGCGCCGCGGTCCAAGATGACCAAGGCCGAGCGGCGGCGCGTGTTTGGCAAGAAGGGCCGCCCGACGCAGTGCCCGATCAACGGGAAGAACCGCGCATGCTGTTCATTGCGCGAGGACCGCCTCAAGTGGCGCCCGCGCAACTGGGCCCGCCAGCCCTCGTCGTCGCCGTCGCCGTCGCCGTAGCCGTCGCCGTCACCGCCGCCATCGCCGCCAAAGAAAAGGGCAAGGGCGGGCGCCGCGACGGGCGTTGAGGAGGTTCCTCGTCCACCCTTCCTTTCAGTTTCTTCGTCCCGCATCTTCCCCAGCCTCCTTCTTATCTCTCTCTCTCGCTCTCGCTGTCTCTATCTGTCTCTCTCTGTCTCTCTATCTGTCAGCAGTGCCATCCCTGTCGTCGTACCGTCTTGAACAGCATTTTGCAACTCTCTCTGCCTCGTGCGCTCTCACTCTACGCAGGGTCCCGCCGCCGACAGCGAGAGTACGTCCGGCGCCGTCGGCTCGCTCACTGCTCGAGTGAGAGGCGATGCAGCGGTGCTTGAGCGCGAGACGGACGGGCCTGCGTCGAGTCGGTGTCGGGCGAGGGCGAGGCGAGGAGAGGGGGGGAGGAGCGCGAGGGTGGGGCGGGACGAGCGCGGCAGCTATGCCTGATGCCGAGTACAGGGTGGCGTGTGCAGCACGGGCACCTCGCGGATGCGAGAGGCCGAGAGAGAGAGCAAGCGAGGCCCGCTTCCCTCTTGCTCCTCGTCCCTACCGCCGCTCTCGCCGTGGGCCACCATGGCCCGGTCAGTGAGCCCAAAGAGCTTCAAGGACCGCAAGGTGCGCCCTGCCCCTTCCCCTCGCACGCGTTCTCGCCCTCCCTGACCCTCTCCCCCCTCATCTCTCAACGCGAAGACGGCTCGCCCGCGCAAGCCCAATCACACGCTCGGCGAGCAGCTCCAACTCGGCGTGAGCACTCTCAGTCCCTCGCTCGTCGCATGCGCGCATCCGTAGCTGACCTCGCCGCCCTCGTGCCGCGCAGTTTCGCCCGATGAGCAAGCCGTCGCTCGCCGGCAAGGACAAGACGGCCGAGGGCAAGAGCTTGACGACCTCGGGTGGCAAGGGCAAGGACAAGGCTGTCCATCTCGGCGAGCTCAGCGTCAACCGCGTCCAGGACCAGGTGCGCCCCCGTCTCGCTCTCCCTCCCCACCCTCAGTTGCGCGTGACGACGCGGGCGCCGGGCACACGAGCTCATCGTCTCGACCCTCCTCGCTCGCAGCTCAACTCGGAAGACGACGACGACGACGACGACGACGACGACGACGACGACGACGACGACGACGACGACGACGACGACGACGAGCGCCTTCCCATACCTCGGTTCAAGTTCCGCGAGGCGCCCGTCCCGGTCGCCAAAGCACCCGCCGAGAAGCTTCAGCCTCGCGCGGCGCGCGTGACCGCAATCTCACGCATCCGGGGCATGAAGCCCCTCAAGGTGCGTCCCAGCTTCATTTCCTCTCTGCTCGCCGCCTCCCGAGCGCGGCTGACCCGTCGTCTCCCACCCCGTCCTCCCTCCTCTCGGCGCGCACAGACGTCCTCCTCTCGGCGCGCACAGTCGTTTTCGGCGATCACGTCGCGCAGGAAGAAGCCCCTGCTCAAGGACGTCGAGGACGGCGGCATCGTTTGGGACGATGGGAGCTTGCCGCACTCGAGGAGGCCGACGAGGCGCCGTGACGCTCGTCTTCCCGCTGTCGCAGTGCGTCCTCCCTCTCCTTCTCTCTCTCGCCGCGCCGACCGTACAGTCCCTGACGGACGTCGGGCACCTGCAGGAGGAGCCGGTGGCTGCAACTGTCGATGAGGACGACTACGACGACGACCCCGACGACGAGCTCCGCTTGGTCCCGGTCAAGACGCCCGCCCTGCTCCTGCCCAAGCCCAAGAAGAAGAAGAAGGCGGTGCGTCCCTCTCTCTCTCTCTTTCTCGGCACTCTCTCAGCGACGAGACTGACGAGCTTTGCCCCTCGTGCCGCAGCGCAAAATCTCGACCCTCGTGCTTGAGGACTCGGACGACGAGGCCTTGAACGCGACGCCCGAGGTGCCGGACGTGCCTGCCCTGCCTGAGCCTGTGCGTCCACGCTCGCGTCTCTCTTCCCGTCCTGTCGAGCGTCGCACTGACCCTCGCGTTCCTCGATCGTCCCTCGCCGTGTTCCTCGCAGGTCCAGGTCGTCGCGGCCGTCCCTCCTCCTCCTGCTCCTCCTCCTCTCGCCGCCGAGACGCCGCACGAGGTGCCTCAAGAGCACAGCGACGCCGAGGACGACGCGGCCGAGGTCGACCGCCTGTGGGACGCGATCGATGCCCAGTTGCTCGAGCTCGAGATGCAGCTCAACGTGCCGGTGCGTCCTCCGTCCGCATGATCCTGTCCCGCCCTTGTCCTCCTTCCTCGTCCTCGCCTGTCCGCCTCGCCCCGTCGCACGCACGAGCCTGACCCTCTCGTGCCGCACTCTCTGCAGCCCGCCACCACCACCTCCACCGCCACCTCTGGCGCCACCAACGCGCCAGCGCCGTACCCGCGCACGGGCTTCCACGCCGCCCTCGTCCGGCACGGCCTCGGGCCCGCTGCCTCGACCCTCTCGCACCACCAGCCCCTGCACACGCAGACGCACTCGCGCCAGCTTCCCCAGCACCCGCCCCTGCACGCGCACGAGCAACCGCACCAGCAACCGCACCAGCCCCTGCACCCGCTCCGGCGCGCAGGCCTCCAGCTCGCGCCCTCGTCGCGCGAAGCAGCTCGTCGGCGGGCGCTCGGCGAGGGGCGGGACGAGGAGGCGGGGGCGTCGGGCTCGACGACGGTCGGGCGCGAGGGGGAGCAGGTCGATCAGGTCGAGCGGGGGCTCGTGCGAGGGCGAGCGCGCGTCGTGCCGCGCGAGGCTGAGGCGGAGCGGAAGGGGGAGGGGGAGGTGCAGGAGCCGGTCGGGCCGCTCGACGACGACGAGGGCGAGGGCGAGGGCGAGCTGAGCGGCTCGATGAGCTTCGAGCCGAGTTGGTTGGCGAGGACGCCCCAGCGCTTCCGTCGGTGAGCGTCTCGCGCGGGCCATGGTTTCCCCCCTCCTCGACCTCTTTTTTGTTTTCCCTCAGCAGTGCACCCTCCCTCTCTCCCTCGTCAGCTTATTAGTGCCATGTCGATGTAGACTATCTTGCATTGCTCGTCCTGCCCCCACTCTCGCCGTCGCTCGCGCCGCCCGAGAGAGAGAGCCACGTCACCTGCCGCCCGCTCCGGCTCGAGGTGGCGCTTGGACGGCTCGGTGCGCCTGTGGCGAGGGCGCCACGCTGCGTGCGCTACTCGCCGAGCGCGAGCGCGCATCGTGCCGCCCCTCTGCGCCATCAGCTCCTCGTCGTCGACCTCGCCTTGCGCGACGAGCCCACGCCCTGCGGCTCCCTTGTGCAGCTCAACCCGCTCTGCAGACAGTGGATGCGCTCATCGCTCGTGCGCCTCACCGTCTGTGGTCCGCGAGCGGGCGAGCACCCTCTCCCTCTCTCTCTCTCGCTTTCTCGCCTTCCTCCTCGTCGTCGCTCCTCTGAGGGCGTCACGGCGCTCCGGCCGCTCCATCCGCCTCGCGCCACGCTCAACCCTGCGGGCAAGCTTTACCGCTCTCGAGGCGCCCCGCGTCCCCTCTGCGGCTCAGTCCTCGCTCGAAACTCAAGGGCCCGTGCACCGCTGCTGCGACGGCCCTCTGCGCTCGACGTGCGCCGCTCGTCCAGCTCAGCTCTCGCTCGGTCGCTTCGGGCTGCGCGCTCTCTGCTGTGCTCGACGGGCGTCTCATGCCCCGAGAACAACGAGCCGAGCACGACGAATCAAGTCACTCGCGCTTCGCTCTCTCTCTCTCCCTCTCTCTGTGCACGCCCTCGTCGCGACAAGGGCCAGGAAATTTGCGGAATCTCTGTTGAAGAGATAACTAGAGGAAGAGGCTACTCAAAGGTCTCTGTTGAAGAGAGGACTCGAGGGGTGGACGAAAAAAGCGAAAAAGGAGGAGGAGAGGGGAGGGAGGAGGCGACAAAAGGAGGACGAGGGCGAGAGAAAGGACAAAGTGGAGAGGGGAACAAAACGTGGGACGAAGGAGGGAGAGAGAGAAAGGAAGGAGGAAAGGAGAGAGAGGGAGAGAGAAAAGCGAGAGAGGAGAGGGAAGGCGCGAGAGAGGAGGGGGAAGAGGAGGAAGGAAGAGGCGAGGCGCTGTTCGACGACGATGGTACGACGACTTAGACAAAGTCGCCGCGGAGGCGGCGCACGAGCTGCATGTCGCGCTGCATGACAGTAACACGTTTGGCGTGCAGCGCGAGCAGGTTCGAGTCCTCGAACAGGTGCACGAGGTACCTGCCCGCGAACGAGGACGAGGCGAGTCAGTCCGTGTCGTCGTGAACGAGGCCTACGACGAGGCTCGGCGTCGACGAGCGAGGGGACGAGGAGGAAGAGGGGAAAAGAAGAAGGGAAAGGAGGGACGCACGCCTCGGTCGCCTCCTGAAGCGCGAGCAGCGCCGAACTCTGCCAGCGCAAGCCGACGCCCTCCTCCTCGGCGATGTCCATGGCGATCTCGCGCACGACGCGCGCGAAGGGGAGCTTCTTGACGAGGAGGTCGGTCGACTTTTGGTACATGCGGATCTCCTTGAGCGCTTTCGCGCCGGGCTTGTAGCGGTGAGGCTTCTTGGCGACAGCTGCGGCGTCGGGAGGAACGAGGAGGGGGACAAGGCGAGGTCAGCGAGCGGGTCCTGAGCGCCGGTGGCGAGGGCGAGGGGGGCGAGAGGGCGAGGAGGAGGAAGCGGGACGCACCGGCCGTCTTGGGCTTGGGCTGGGGCTTGGCTTTGCCCTTGCCCTGCGCAGCGCCGCCGAGAGGCTTCGGGGCCACGATGCGGCCGGCGAGGGCGTTCTTGCCTCCCTTCTTGGCCGTGACCTTCACACGCGCCATCTTGTGCGAGAGGTGGTGGTGGTGGTGGTGGCGGTGCGCGGTAGCTCGAGGTGAGTCGAGCGAGAGGCGAGTGATGGGAAGGAGAGAGAGAGGCGAATTTGCGAGGCGAGGCGAGAGCGAGCTAGCGAGGACAAGGGGGAGCGAGCGGACGGACGCGACTCGTAGCGAGCGAACCAGGGCTCGAGAGAGGCTGAGACTACTTCGTGCGTGGACTTGTGAAGCTACAGAGTAGGTGTGGGCTTCTACCTTGCAGAAGGCAGACCAGCACAAGGAGCGAGAACCGTCGAAAGTCGAGAGGAGGAGTGCGAGGCGAACGGTCCGTCTCTCCTGTCCGCCGGCCCGGGGATACCGACCGAGATGGCTGCGGAATCTCGCGAAAGGGGCCGCACGTGGACCCGCAGTGCGCCCCTGGCGAGAAGATGAGGTACGCGCGTCCGTCGGCGAGCGAGAGGAGAAGCGCAATCGCCGAGATGAGCTGCGAGATCAAGTCTTAGCTTTCTGCTCAATGGAGTGTTCACTCGAGCGAAGGCAAGTAGCGTCCGGGGACCGACGCGGCGAGAGAGAGTCGACGAGGCAAGTCGACTTGGGAAGGTCGCGGCACACGAGGCCTGAGCGTCGGCCAACCGCTTCCCTCGCTTCTCTCATGATCTCGCGGCGGCAAAAAGAGCCTCACCTGAGCCCGTACGAGGCTGCGCGGCAAAAGATAACGACGACCAGAGCAGGACTTGAACCTGCGCAGGCAGAGCCTAACAGATAAGCGGTAATTCTAGTCTGTCTCCTTAACCACTCGGACATCTGGCCAACAATGACGAAAGACCCGTCTTTGTACATACTCGTAGCGCATAACCAAAGGAAGGTCGAGAGGAAGGGAGAACGATCCGCGTTGGGATGAGCGACATGCGTGCGCCTGCCCTTTCAGCTTCGCTTCTTTCCACAGCTGCGCTCGTCGAGAGCGCTGCTCGAAGTGCCTTACGTGGAAGACCGCGTGTTCGAAAGGCCGGCACGCTGCCGCCGAGACGAAGCCGCGAAAGCAAGCTGAGGGTCAGATCGTCGCAAGTACTGCGTCCTCTGGCGTCGGCGTGCTTTCCCTCGCTCGGTTGCGCGCCGGCCGCCGATTGCAAAGCCTTGTTCGCGACTCTTTCCACTGTCTCGCGACCCTGTGCGTGCGCAACGTCTCGACGACGGCCCGCGTCCGTTCGACCTTCTCAAGTTGACGCTCACGCTCGAAGCGACACTGCTGCGAGCCCGGACCGGCGCTCGAGCGTCCCGAGGCTGCTACATTGTGCAAGCTCGTCGACAGAAGGAGCAGGAGAAGGTGAGGGCCGGCTCGAGCAGAGAACGCAACGCTCGAAAGCGGGGCTCGAGCGCTCAAAGCGGCGACGGCAGCGACGCCGCGGCACCCCTGCTGCGTCCGTGTTTGGCTCTCATGGCCCGCAGAGACACTCTGCAGACGTCGCAGGCACGAGAACGCTTGGTCTACGACGGTGCGAGCCGAGTCGAGCAGCGCACGAGCCGCCTTTTTCGTCTTCTCTGCGTGCGTCTGATCTGTACGTTGAACTGCGCTGCGCCGCTATCTACCAGGGGATCTAGCTCATCGGTAGAGCGCTCGCTTAGCACCATCGTGTGCGAGAGGCGCAGGGTTCGACTCCCTGGTTCTCCAGATCTTCTTTTGCCGCTCGCACAGGGCGTCCCTCGACGCACCCGACGTTCGCGGGACCCGCGCTTTCTTTTGCTTGCGCTCTGGGGCAAAGGGCAACAAGCGGTCGAAAGCCAGACGGTCAGAGCACGGCGGCACTTTGACCTTCTCAAGTCGAGCCTCTTCCTCGCGCTGCTCTCGCCCCTCGCTCTCAGGCAGTCTCTCGCTCGCTGCGCGCACGCACAACAAAACTCATGCACTGCACGTCCCCTCCGACTCGGGCACCCCACACTGCGCCCTCGTCTCACCGCCCCCTCTTCTCCTCGACGTCGTCCTCCGGGTCGGGCCGGTCGTCGAAGACCGTCTTTGGCTGAGTCGCGGCCCACGCCTTGGTCCACGTGTTGTCGTTCGGGTCGGCCGTGGCGTACTTGAGGAGCGCTTCGCGGGGCTGTTTGTGGCGCGGGCAGGGCGAGGGGCGAGGGGCGAGGGGCGAGGGAGGGGGGAGGAAGAAGGCGAGTCGAGGAGGGACGGCGAGAGAGAGGGTCGAGACGCCGAGAGAGGCGAAGGAGGGGGTCGAGGGCGCAGGTGCGAGGGCGGCGAGGAGGAGGAGGGCGAGGACGAGGGAAAGGACAACGAGGGAGAGAGCAAAGTCAGCGCTCAGGTCCGCCGCCGGTGCCTCGCCGCACAACTCGCTCGCTCGCTCGAGAGAGAGAGAGAGCACAGGAGCCCGACTCACGTCCTGGTCGCGAATGTTGTTGCGCACGAGGCCCTGCACGACGTGCTGCGTCGCGGCGGCGCCGATGCGGCCGCCCTTGCCCGGGCCTTGGACGGGCGGCACTGCGAGCGCGCGAAAGGGACGGCGCGGTCAGTTGGCGCGCTCGAGGAGGGCTCGGTTGGCCTGGTTGTCGGACGCAGGGAGAGGGAGGGAGAGAGGAAGGGAAGAGAGGGAGAGAGACGTACTCGGCTTCATCGTCTTCTGCGGATCGTGCCTCTCCCTCTCCCTCCTCCTCTTGCCGCCCCTGCCCCCGGCACTGACCTGGCCCTCGTCCTTGAACATGGGCAGCGAGTGCGGCGCAATGATTGGCCCGCCGACCCCTGCCCCCTCGCCTGCGTCTCCTCCCGCCGCCGAGTACGCGAACGAGTCCTCGAGCTGGCGCGCCTTGGGCGCCCGCGCGACGGCGAGCGTGATGCCCTTGGTCGCCGACGAGGGCGAGTACAGGACGTGGATCGAGCCGTCGGCCGAGCCGGTGAGGATCTGGTGCGTGGACGGGTGGGGGCGGGAGGTGGGGGAAGGAGGAGAAAGAGAGAGAGGGGAGAGGAAAGAGGAGGAGGGACAAGATGTTGTCAGCTCGTGCGCTCGCGCGAGAGGTTAGGGAGGGAGACAGCGGTCGCGAGGCCGGGCGAGGGGGCGAGAGGCGGCGCACCTGGTTGATCTTGGGGTGCCACAAGACGCGCACGACCGAGAAGGGCGAGATGTCTGCGAGCCGGGGCAGGCCGAGCGTCGGTCAGTTGCCCGTCGGTTGTCGTCGTCGGCTCGTCTCGTCGACGTCGAGGATGATGGCGGCGAAAAGAGGGCGAGAAAAGGGAGAAAGAGGGAGAGGGAAGGGAAGGGAAGGAGAGGGGAGATGGGGAAAGGGTCTGTGCGGCCGAGCCGACGTGGCGCCCTCCCTGCGAGGCGAGGGGAAAGAGAGAGAGAGAGAGAGAGAGAGAGAGAGAGAGAGAGGCAGCGAGGACTCACTAATCTCCCTCACCTTCTCCATCCCCTCTGTCCGGAACACCACGACCTTCCCCATCCCGACCTCGCCCCCCATCTCCCTCTCAAGCTCCCTCGCGCGCTCCTCGTCGGCTCCGCCACCGCCAGCGAGCACGCCGGCGCGGTTGCCGGCCGTGCCCGTGAGGACGTACTGCCCGTCGGGCGAGAAGCACGCGTTGGTCTCGCCGTTGAGCGAGGGGAGCGACGTGGCGGTCGACAGGGGCTTTTTGAGCGCTTTCGGGTTCCACACTGGTGCGGGGCGAGGGCGAGGGCGAGGGCGAGGGCGAGGTGAGGCGAGGCGAGGGCGAGGCGAGAGAAGCGAGGGAGGCGAGGGAGGGAGGGAGAGAGAGGTGGTGGCGGTGAGACGAGGAAGGAGGAAGGAGAGAGAGGGTCGTCGGCAGGAGGAAGGAGGCGAGGCGAGGCAAGAAAGAGGGCGTCAGTACATCTCCCTGACCAACTCGAACCCTCGCACCACGCCCTCCTCGCGCTTGAGGAAGAGGGAAAGAGAGAGAGAGAGAGAGCGCTTGCCCACGACGCACGCTTGAGCGTCCCGTCCCCTCCCCGGGTGACGAGGTACTTGCCGTCGGGCGAGAACGCGATGCAGCTCGTCGTCGTGCCCTTGTCGTGCGCCTTGTCGCAGCTCTGCGGGTGCGGGCGGGCGAGAGGGTGCGGGTGAGGGGGGGCGAGGGGTTGGGGGGTTCAGGGCGAGGGAGAGGGCGAGGGAGTGAGGGAGAGGGAGAGGACGAGGGGATGAGGTGAGGGGATGAGGGCGAGGGAGAGAAGGAGAGGGCGAGAGGGCGAGAAAGGACGTGCG